CTTATGTGCAAGTCAGCCAATGCAGAAATCAGGTTTCCAGGCATTATCTAGCATGTCTTTTAATGGGAGCCATAAAGAAAATCTGACTGACTGGGTAAAACTATTCTTAGATGAATCCAGGATGGTCCACATTGATCAGAATGCACTTTCTGAAGCACTCACAGTCTTTTTACTTTTTCAGTATAAACTCTAGCTTGAGATCATCAACAAAATATCAGTGGATAATTGGTGAACATTTTCCTTTTGCAAAAGTCAGATAACTCTTTGATCTCTGTCTTCTGTGATTTTCAAATCTTCTGTGATTATTAAAGTTTCCTTAGTGTGAATCAATAATCTAATTTTCAAGCTTTCTCATTACCTTAATTTGTAGTTAAGTAATTCATAAAACACACATTTATTGAGGATTCTGTGTTCTGGTAGGCTCTGAAGTGTCAATGGTGAACAGAATATAGTGCTTGTCCTCATAGGTTAGACCCTCTTACTGAAGAGCAATTAATTACAATTAATCATGATGTTACCAGGTAGCACATAGGATTGTAGATGTTCATGGCAGATGGAAGCGCTCCCAGAAGTGGTGACAGTGTCATTGTATAGGCCAGCCCCCAGGAGGTGTGACTAGGTTTGTAATATCCTTCCCAATTATTTTAGACTTCAAAGTCCTCATTACAGCCCAGTTCTGCCTTTTTACTTGGGCCGTGATGTTTCAAAGAAGCCAAGTAATCACTAAGCTTTGCTGTTTCTCACCATCTAATTCTGCCCTGTCTTAGTAGTCTATGAAATGCTCATCAGTTTCTCTGATGCAGTTTAACTCTTTCCCTCTTTCTTTTTTGTTGCCTTAAGCAATTGTTTTTATTTCCCCATCTCTGAAGCAATTCCTTTTCTTAGTTCTCTTCTTGTGAAATACTAGATTTGTTGCTTTTTTCTTGTTTCTTTACCTTTTAATTTCTTACACACAAACCAGAAAAAAAAAACATTATTACAAAAAGTTATTGTGGAAAGCAGTTAAAAATACACATTAAAAGAATATTGAAAACACTTGTCTTCTCATTACATATATTTGCCTATATCTTCATGTACATTTACACACAGAGAATCAAGTAGATTTTTTTGTCCATATGTGGTGCTTAGAATCAAACTCAGGAATTGCACACAGTAAACATGTGGTCTACTATTGAGCCACACTTCCAGGCCAGTGTGCTTTTGTTACCTGTGGTTCTCACTCACCTTATGTCATGGTCATCTATCAGCTTGATTTGAATGGTTAAATTAGTCTTTCATTGCTAGAACTTGAAAATAGCCTTCAGAGGAACAGCCTTGTAACTAAATCTTTGAATAAAGTTATAAAACATTATGAAAATTCTAGAAATAATAGTTATTGAAAATGTATTTTACTAGCTGAGACAACTCTTTAAAAGTGGTTCCTCCAAGTTGTTGCCAATCAATAAGTTCTAGAGGAGGGGAATTCAGTTTTTTCAGGGATAAAGGCCATGAGGGGCTAACCCATGCTCCAGTAACTAGTCCTAAACTTATGCTTATAAAGACTAAGTGGATTTTATGGGTTTTAATAAACAAAGCATATGAAGTTGTGAGGAAAAAGCAGTGGATGGATAGGGGTGGAGGAGTAGTTTTAGAACAAGTTAATGGGGTAGATTTTATCAAAACCTATATGTATCCATTATGTTCTCAAACAATAAAAAAGGACAAATTGCTCCTTCATTGAGTGTGTATAGGAAGGCCAGAGGTCGAAGTGGGGTGTTTTCACTGTTAACTCACTTTACACCTTATTGTTTGAGACACTCTCTCTCACTTACTGAATCTAGAACTTACTGATTTGACAAGACTCTCTGACCAGCAAGCTCCAGAAATCTTTGTATCTCTGTTCCCCAGTGCTGTGACTCCAGGCATGTGCCTCCATGGCCAACCTTTTTCTCTTCTTAACCCAGGTGTTGGTGATCTGAATCTGATACATATGCATACATATCCTTACCCTAAGGATTTCAGAGGAGTGGGTGGGATAATCCTTAGTAACAGTTAACTTAGAAAGTCTATGATAATTAATATATGTACTTAGAAATATAAAGCAATTTTATTTCAAAAGAGTACCTTTCAGAAGCATAGTGAACCTGTCTCATTTCTACTTCCTCTGTTATTGTGGACTGAGCAAAGGCATGGTAGAGGAAGCCTAGATGAAAGTTTGTTATGGTCACCACTGATGAATTTCTGTTCCCTAGGAACTCACAAAAGGATGCTGACAGACTGAAATAATTCTTTAAAATAATCTTCGGAACCACATTCAAGTGCAAGGCAATGCATGCTAGAGCATTTGTGCAAAATAAATTGGCCTTGATGGGGGAGGGGGGAAAGGACACAAGTTTCCTGGGAAGGGAAGGAGAGTGGTCTTGGAAGAGGTGGGGAGGAGGTTGAATATGATCACAGCACACCGTATGAGATTCTCAAAGAACTGATCAAATTTTTAAAATGACCTTTGTACGTGTTTTTGAGATTAAAGATGCTTTGAGTTCTGTATAAGATCTATATGTGAATTAGCTTTGACTTTTTAATCATGTTGTTCACAGTTTCTTTCTCTTCTTCCCTATCTCCATCTGCAGCTAAACTGTTTGTTTTTTGTTGTTATTGTTTTTGAATTGAATTGGTGATAGTGGGATTTATACAGATACCATTACAAGTGCACCTGCCAGGGTCTAGTTTGAAGGGATGGGATATGCAACCTCCCTGTGGAAATGCCCCCTGCCATGAGTTCTTTTCTGTGTTAGGGTAGGGTGTGCCTCTATGTCACAGAGACCTGTACTAAAATATAGATTTGCTATTTACTAAAATGGCAAACTACTTAATCTCCCTGAACCCACTGCTTTCCTCCAATAGTGTGAGACGTGGAGAATATCCATTCCCTTGTAACACTGTTGGAAGAATGAAAATGAATGACAACAAAAGGCCTGTCTCTAAGGCGTTCTTCCTGTTCTGACAGAATGGCTCAGAAGACAGAAGCATAGATGGATATTGAGAGATAGATGTGTTTTAACTTCATGACATTTTTTTTTTTTTCTGGAAAATTTTCTTGTCCTTTAAGATCAACCTGCAAAACACTGGATTTTTCCCTTTTACACTGTCATGTCAATTGTAAAACTTTCACAGTTTCCTCCAGTGACATGGATTGGAAGTCATCATAAATGTGGGGAAAAGCCGTGTTACTGAGATAATGATTTTGAGATTTTTCAAAGAATCAAATGGCCATGAAAGATGCAGTGAGAGACACAAAGCTGCTGCAGCTGCTGCCAGGTGCATTCCTTTCATGCTACCCAGGCTGACTGAAATATTGGCTTTGACTGGTGAATGGGTTTGGATTTTAGGTCTAGATAAAATTGCAGAGAGACAATAATTAAGCAGTGGAAACTGAGTGTCTAAAGAGCTAATCCAAATATAGGAATTACAGGGATATAATGTGGAATGACTTATTACTACTGGTTTTTGAGAAGGTGTGGATACCAGTATGCAGAGTGTATCTCCACAGAGTAGGAGTCTGTTTTGCAGGGCCTGAATGGCTGCTAAATTCAGCCTCTCTGCTCAGTATACAGCCTCATTGTGGATAGTTTAACTGTCTGCACTGTGTTTCCTTTGCTTCTAAAACAGGGTTGCTGATAAATCTGGACTCTGAACGGTTTGGGAAATACAAATGACTCAATGCATGGAAATGGTTAGCTCATAGAAAGGTCTCAAACTGTCATTATTATGAAGGTGTAAGCCTAGACTAATGCCAGAGACTTGGTTTCTAACTCCAGCCTTGACAGACTGGCATTTGGATGCTTATGTAATATGTTTTTCCTTCTGAGCCACATTTCCTTGATAGAAAAATGCAAGGAGCAAGATAGCACAGAAAATATCTTTCAGTTTCAGATGTGAACCTATAATGCAAGACATGCTTTTATTCTTTTTAACACAGAATTATCTAGAAAAATGTAAATTTTATAGTATCAAATTTAATTCTCTTAAAAATATGTTTATCCCACTGTCTTGTTTGTTTCTTCTTGTCCTTATTATGAATATGTGATATGATCTGTCCTTCTGTATGCTATGAATGTGTTACTTTTATTGTTTGATAAATAAAGCTGTTTTGAGGAAACAAATTTGTGTGTGTTCATGCATATACATGTATATGTGTGGTATATGTATTCACTTGTATGTGTCTGTGTATGTGTGAAGTTAGTCCCTCACTTATTTCCCACCTTCCTTTTTGAGTCAGGGTCTCTTGATGAGCTTGAAGCTCAATTGTTCAGGTAGGCTGGCTGGGCTACAGGCCCTGGGATTTGCCTGTCTGCCACTGGATTCCAAATACATACCAGTTGACCTAGCATTTATATTAGTGCTAGAGATGGAAGTTAGATTGCCAGACTTCTTTTACTAGTTTTTATTGACCAAGCCATCTCTCCAATTTCCAATTTATAATAATTCTTTTTTCACAGAACATAGTTCTGTGAACCTTGTAAAATGTGAATGATATAGAAAGAAAAGAATAGACAAACACAAAACATTGCACTAACTCTGAGCAACAGATTCTCATTAAATATTTAAGCGATTAAATTAAAAAAAATGTAGGGACTTTGATTAAAAAATGTGCTGATTGTGTTAAACATGATGTTTATGAATTAGACTGTGATCCTGTGGTCTGTTCTGACAGAACCCAAAGGCACAGTTATGAGAGAAAGTGTGTTTGTGTACACAGTTATGTCTGTCTGTCTATCTGTCCACACACATTTTTCTTTAGGATCATTTTTTCTGTTTCATATGAAAATGACAAACTTAATAATGTAATTATTCTGTCTGTGCATGACCAGCTATGTAAATTCCAAATCATAAAAGCTTAATGCTTGTTATATGGCTTGTGGATTAATATGAAGAAAATTAATACAAGTCTATATTCTTTTTTCTTCATAGAGACTTACAAAATGTATTCTTGCCTTATATAATGTGACATTTATTTCCTTGTGCTCGCTTTGACATCACATATACTAAAATTGAAACAATACAGAGAAGATTATTGTGGTCCCAGTGCAAGGATGACATGCAAATTTGTGAAGTATTCCATAAATTTTTCAAGTGGGAAGGGAAGAGAGGGATAAAGGAGGGAATATGGGGAGAGATAGATAAAATTAATGGCCAATTGAGGGATAGTATGGAAACCTAATACAGTAGAATAGGCGAGACAGAGCCTCAAGAAGCCATCTCTTGTCACTAAATGAAGCTTCCAGTACTAGGACTGGCTACATCTAATTGAGTTGTTGGCCAATGGCCTCACATGAGAATTCATAAGAAAGCTTGGCTGTTGGGCAAGACTGTAGGTTGCTCTCAGCAAAGTGGCCACTAGGTTCCATTTACAGAACTCATTACCCATCAACACAACTCATTAAACACCGGGAAGTCAACCAGGTGCCCACGTAATGCCTTTACCTCTATGTTATAGGTCTTTGGTACAGGAAGGTACCTTACATGCTTCCAAAAGAGAAATGTAAACACCAACCCAGTCACAAACCCTTTGATGTAGAATTTGTTTACTGCCTGTAAAATATGCTAGTGCAATAGCAGCATAAAGCTTGTGGGAGTAGCCAGCCAATATCTGATTTGATTTAAGGCCCAGTTCACAAGATGGAACCCATACCTACATTGACCATTACCAAGGATTACAAAGTGGAGTCAGAGATAGGTTGATAACTGGTAGTTTATTGGGGGAAAATACTCATGCAAGGGAACCAGTAACCAGGTTTGCACCCGAGCAGGACAGACTCAGTAATGCCTCCCAGCCAGCTCAGCCAAGTGAGAGAGCCGCATGCATGCCTCCCTCCTTCTTAAATCCTTGCTATGTAACTGTGACCATGCCAAAGCGGCCTTTTCAGAGCTAAGAGCACCAACCCATTGAAACCCTGAAAATGTGTGTATAGTATGATGCACATATTTTAAATTTCCAAATGCTGGAAAGTGAAAGACATCCATCTGCCCAACCTCATTTCTCCGAATGCCCTTAGGATTACAGCCTGCTGGCAATAGAGCTTGATTATAGAATGAACAGGTAAGACAGTTTCTCACTATCTCCTTGGCTTGTTGCCCAGCGATGGGGAAATCCTTTTTGAAACATTTGCTATTTACATGGTGTTTCTTATGAAATTCTGAGGCTTCTAGCATACTTTATTAATAAACAATCAATATCATCATTGCCTTATGCTAGTGGGCCTGGCAGACCCATATGGGATCTGATATGTGTTATATATATCGGATAGGTACTGTTAATGATTGTTTCTTATAATTGTATAAACACTGAAGTTAATTCTGTATTGTCAGGAATGAATTCAGCAGTCTCGATGTGTAAAACTCTGCATATTGAGAATCACTATATTGAGAGGCTCTGTAAAATCTGTAAGTACCATAAGTACTGTGTATAATTCTGCCTTCTGTACAGTTATATGGACTTTGAACTACTTTACTTATCTCTCCTGAGTTATATCCTGCCTTACCTGATTTTTTTGCATCAGTGTAGAAGGTAGGGACTCCAAAAATAGGTGTTTTTCTTACAATAATTGGAAGGATCCAGATTGTCTTTTTTATGAATTTATTTCTGTCAGTTTTGAGATAATTGTTAATAGTTCCCAAAAAGTTAGTACAAGCTGTCTGCCAGTATTCATTTCTTCCATAAGGAAGAAATTTCCTCATTAGTTAAAGGTACTATAATTTCTGCTGGGTCCCTTCCAGTCAGTTGACAAAGTCTTAATTTGCCTTTTAGAATCAAATCAGAAATCTTTTCTATGTACTTTAGCTGTTTATGTGGTAGAAATATCCATTCTAATATAATATCTTCCCTCTGCATCAGAATCCCTGAAGGGTATTCCCTGGATGGTAAAATAAGAAGAATACAGTCTAATTCAGGATCCACGTGGTCTACATGTGCATCCAGTATTCTGTTTTCCACCCATTGTAAATCTTTTTCCTCTTCAGCTGATAATATTCGTGGGCTGTTTAAGTCCTTGTCCCCTTTGAGGGCCATTTTTTCACTTTTTTTATTTGAGTTACAAACAAGATTGAATTACATGACAATCCCAGTTCCCTTCTCCCTCCCTTCCTCCCCTACCAACCCCCCCAACTAAAACCCTACCTATTATATATCCTTTCTTCTAATCTACACCTGACTCAACCTTTCTGCTCCCTCATGACCTCTGCATTCTTCCTTTTCTTCCCTTCTCATTCTCGTAGCTCCCTCAAGGGCCATTTTTAAAATGATTTATGTCATGTCCTTCTACTCCAATTATTGTTTGTAGTTGAGAAATTTCCCCTAGTAATTTCTGCAGGTCATTAAGAGTTTGATAACAATCTCTTCTAATTTGTACTTTTTGCGGTCTGATTTTTTGTAAGTCTATTTTATAACCTAAATAATTAATAGAATCTCCTCTTTGTATCTTTTCTGGGGCAATCTGTAATCCCCAATGAGGTAGAACCCCCTTTACTGTCTCAAAATCCATTCTAATGTTTCCTTCTTAGAATCTGACAACAGTATGTCATCCATGTAATGATATATTATGGATCTTGAAAATTTTTTTTACAAATTATCTCCGAAGGTTTTTGTATGAAGTGCTGACACAAGGTAGGACTATTTAACATTCCCTGTGGCAAAACCTTCCACTGAAATCTCTTAACTGGCTGTGAATTATTATAAGTAGGTACCATGAACGCAAATTTTTCCCTGTCTTTTTCTTGTAATATATACTGAAGAAACACTCTTTTAGATCAATGACAATGATTGACCATTCTTTAGGAATCAAGGAAGGCAAAGACATTCCAGATTGTAGAGAGACCATTGTCTAAATTACTTTATTGATTGCTCTCAGGTCTGTCAGCATCCTCCATTTACTGGACTTCTTTTTGAAAACAAATACAGAATTCCAAGGGCTGATAGATGCATCTATGTGCCCAGCATGCAGCTGTTCCTGAACCAACTATTCTAAAACCTCTAGCTTCTCAGAGGTTATAGGCCATTGTCCTATCCAGACAGGTTCATCTGTAAGCCATTTTAAAGGTAGAGCTTTTGGTTCCCCTGTAGGTTTATCATTTGTACTTTGTTTATATACAGCCTCGATGGTTGGTATCTGTTTTCCATAGAGCCTTACTATATTTTGTCTACCACCTAGAGATTGTATATGATTTACATCTCATACTAGAGGAATGTAAATCTATGTATTCCATTGGTGTAAATGGTCATGACTCCAAAGATTTATAGCGATATCTGCTACATATGGCTTTAACCTTCTTCTCTGCGCTATACAGACAACCCCCCTCACACTTTGACATACTTTAGATAAAGTTCCAATCCATAAAAATTGAATATTCACCTCTTTTGGGGGCCATCTCTGAGGCCAGGACTTTTGGGTTAAAACAGTCATATCCACCCCAGTGTCCAGCAAATCAGTAATAATTTTATTATTTATTCTTACTTTCAACTGAGGCCTCTGATCCTTTATAGAAGTTTGCCAAAATATGTTTTTTGTCTCCACCAGTCACGTTCCATTCTTCCTCACTAGCCAAACTACCATCTAGAGTGGTACCATTCTTTACAACAGGCAGTGTACTATCTATTCATCCTCCTGTAAGAGATTGTCCTCCACAGTGACTGTGAATAACCAGACCTTTCTCAACCCGGTGGCCTTCGAGGGTCCCCACAAGGAGTTTCCCAATTGTAACAGGTTTCCTTATATGTCTCTGGTTGATCTACATTCATTGGTCCAGTGTCTGCCCTTACCACATCTCCTACACAATCCAGGAGGTGGAGGTCTTCTATATGTGACATTATTTGAATTTCCTTGCCTATGGTTCCTTCTAACATGTTCTATTTTGCCACAGTTAAAACATCTAGTATCCTGATGCCTTCTCGACCCTCTGGGGATTGCTCTTCCTATCCAAGTTCCTGTTTCATTACAGTTAGAGCATACGGCCTCTTCATGTCTTTTTAAACCTTTTGACATTGCCTCTCTTACCCAAGCTTCTGTATCTCGGACATTATAGTCGAGATTAGCTATAAGCAAGACCCACTCTTCCAGTGTGCTGATCTTATCTTTAAAGGCAAAAGTATCCTTTTGCATAGTGTATTTGCATTTTCATAAGCTAGAGGTTGTATGAGTGTTTTTCTAGAGTCTAAACCTGCTACCTGTAACTTTAGTGGCCTGGATAGTCTTTATAAAAACTTTCCGGTCAGCCCCTGTGCTATCTTAGTATAGGTTTTTACTCTTTCTCCTGGTTCATGAACCTTTTCCCAGGCATTTAAGGCTGCTGTCCTGCAGAAGGACAATATGTGCTTGTCATTTGCATCCTGAGCCTGTGGCTCAGCATAAAGACCCTGATCAAGAATCTTATCTTGGAGAGCTTCATAACCTTTCTTTAAGCCTGGAAGCTTGAGGGCTTTTGCTTTCTCCCTCCATAGAGCCCTCCACTGTATTTGAGATGAATTTTCAAGCACAGCTGATATTAGGTGTTCCCAATCTATGGGCATTGCCAATCTATTAGGAGTTCCCAATCTATTAAAAGTTGCCCATGACTTTAATAATTCTTTGACATAAGGGCTATGGAGACCACATGAGACAACAGCCTCCTTGATTTCTTTTAATTCTTTTAGTTGTATCAGTTCCTATTGATATGCAACATGACCATTTCAATATTTCTTAGATGGTGGTTTCTATGACATATTTGCGGGGAAGACCAGTGGTGTGCACATAACAACCTTAGGAAGGTTTTCCTGATGTTTGATTGGAATAGGTGCATCAGATTGGGAGGAATCCGACTGACATTCATCCAAAGCTTGTAGCCTGGCAACCATTGTCTCTTTGAGATATTGAACCTCATGAATAAGATTCTAAGGATTTCATAGAATCATTGATTTTTCTTGTTTCTTCATTTACATATGCTTCTAAACCTTTAATATTCTCATCCTTATATAGTATCTGAATGGCATGTAAATTGTCTTCTAAATATCCAATCCTAGATTCCAGCTTTTGGCCTGTGGCAGTATGAAGCTGACTGCTAACATAACTTATAGGTATGTTACCGGCAAGTCATAAG